GAGTTTGTTTTCGTCTTAACTTTAAAATTTTAAAATTTAGTTCTAACTTTGATTCTTCGAATAGCTAATGTAGGCACTTAGTTCAAAACTCAGATGCACAGGAAGGTGTCTCTGATGGAGCAGGTAGCCTCTATCAGCATCCTTCCACGGCTTCCCTAGGCCGTGGGAGGGGATGCTGTGGAAGGCGAGACACACCCTGCTCTCTGGTCCAGCCCTCGTCTTGGAAAGGGAGATATTTTAAACCACCCCATAATAAATGCTGAGGACCGGCTCCTTGCAAACTGCTTTTGTCGTGACTGTGGTGGCATTCAAGTGTCTTAGAAGGCTTTCTTTCAGAGGCTTTTGTGCTGGACAGGAAAGCTGAGGTGTGGCGTGAAATGGATGGAGTGAGCTGGTTCTCGACGGGCCTGAAGGGCGTCAGAGCCTGGTTCTCCTCTCCTCCCCGCCCCCCATCTCTCACCTCAGGCTGGAAATGTGTCCTGCATCTCCCCAGAATGTCCCCCTGGCCCCTGTCCGACCTCCCCAAAGCCAGACTGCTGTACTTGTGTTCCAGGTAAATGACTTTGAGTCGGGGGAGAGGCGGGAGCATTTAACTTCTTTGTGTGTTTGGGGGAGGGGTGTCTTTTGAGTATGTTTTGGGGAGCAAGATGAGTGGAAGAGAGCGGAGAGAGATTGATTTTTGCTTTAGAAACTCAGATCAACTGAAGCATTTCAAAGCGCCTGTTTTAACTGAGGACCTACTATGTGGTTCAGATGCTAGACTGAGCTCATGGCCTGACCTGTCCCCTGCCATGGGAAACACCTTCAACGCAGGCAGGAAGGAGTTTAAGTTCATGCTTGGCATCGATCTGTCTTGAGCTGGGGAGGGCGCCTCCCCTTCCCCACGAATGAGCTGGTCTTTTGTTAAAAATGTGATTTTCTTTCCTGGGATGACCTCATCCCTGGCACAGATATTCCCTGCCAGCTTCGTGCTGTTGCCGCGTGGGGCACTTGCCGGCCCTTGATCTCAGTACTGTTCATAGCCCCATTTTATAGAGGAGGAAACTGAGGCCTAAAGACACACAGCCAGTTAGTAGATGAGCAGGACTTGAACTCAAGTCTACGTTTCAAAGCTGGTGCCCTTTAAAATATTTTTTCTTAACTTTAAAAGTTTATATTATTTTAAATTAAAAATTTGGCGATTAGGCAATGTCGTCCCTACGAGGTAGGAAGTGGTATCAAACCTTTGTGCAGATGAGAAGACGAAGCCTTAATGAGCTTTAGCATCTGCCCAAAGTTACTCCCTAGTGAGGCGTGCAGCTGGGATTTGCACCCGGGGCCGTCCGACCGACACCGGGCGGGTTTGGCCAGGTTTTCAGGCTCTTTTTACCTGTGAGGCATCTTCAGATGAGAGGCTCTTGCTGAACCCTCCCAGCCGCCCCCCTGGGTGGCATGGTTCCCAGAGCCGTCTCAGGCGTCTGGATCGGTCTTTTTTCATTTCTTCTTTTCTCTTCCTCTCTGGTTATTCTGGGCTTCCCCTGCCTTTTTAGTTAAGGACCTGATTTGACACGTGCTTCGTTCTCTGTCGGTTTTTAATAGCACGTTTTTTTGTCAGGGGTTCAGAGGGGCGAAGCGAGCGTGGGCCGTGGTGGGGAGTGTCATGGCGTGTGTGAGCATCTCCAGGTTCCCCCACTACGCGTTTCTTCTCCTTTTCCTTCCTCTGCCCCCTCTCAGAGACCTTGAGCTGCTTCTGCCTTTTCTCTCTGCAGTGAGATGCTTTTTCCATGGCCGGTGGTATGCAGACGGGGCTGTATTCAGTGGCGGTGGTGACGAATGTACCACCTGTGTCTGCCAGGTAGGGAGCTGAATTGGTGGGTGACGGGGAGAGGGTGAAAGACTGTCCTAGGATGCCTTGGCCGTGGGTAAGGGGGGCTGCCATGTGACACAAGGGAGACTGAGGTAGCAAAGAGACTAAGGGACCCGCAGTCACCGAGGCCTTGAAGTTCCTCCTTTAGCAGTGCAATTTATAGAGCACCTACTGTGTGCCTGGAGCAATGCTGAGAGCTGGGGACACAGCTAAGCACAAGACAGCCCCAGTCTCCTCTGTCAGGGACCCCACAGCCTGGGTGGGTGATGGACAGGTGACCACGGCTCCTAGCCAGACTTGCAGGCTTCGAGGACACCTTCTTGGAGGGAGGGATGCTAAGGTGAGACCTAAAGGATGACCAGCACTAATCAGGTAAGGAGCTGAGGCAAGTGTGCCTGGCAGCGGGCACTGCGTGAGCAGAGGACAGGAGGCAAGAGAGAGCATAGTGTGCAGTACGGAACACATGACAGATTTGAGTCAGGCCAGAGATGAGGCTGCAGGCAGGGACAGCACTTGGGCTGGCTTCAGAGAGGCAGGGCCTGGGGCGGGATGCTTCTGTAAATGAGTTTCTGAGGGAGTGCTCTCAGGGGAACCGTGAGGGAAGCAGGAGAGGGGCAAGGAGCAGGGTGAAGATGGGGCTCAGGCCGATGCCCCGGGAGCGGGGCTCCTATACCTCCAGCATCTCAGCTGAGTATACTCCCTTGCTCCCCAGGGTGTCGGAGGGTGAAGGAACCATCCAGGCCCCTGGAAGATATGGCCCCCTTTGGCCAAGGGCATTACTTTAGGGGTGGTGGTGGCAGACTCAGTCGCAGAAGGCTTTGCCAGCCAGGCTGACGGTCTTGGACTTGGCAGAGCTGGGGAAGAGTTTTAAGTGATGGCGTGATGTGATGAGGCTGGTGTGTGGGAAAGTTCTCTGGCTGCATCATGACAGATTGCAGCGAGAACAGGGAGCCTGCACAGAAGCCGTTTTGCAGGAGTGAGGGGAAGAGATGCTGGCGGCTGCCGCTGGGGCCGCGGGGGACCCTCCAGACAGACAGCCGGCACATTCTCAGGACCCCCCAGCCTCACCCCAGCCCCAGTGAAGGACTCGTCTTTCCTCACCCTCCTGCCCCATGGAGATTTCTTTGTCACTTTGAGTGGGGTGATGGCAGCTGCCAGCCCTCCTCTTTAGCCCTCCCGTGGCCCGAGGCTTGGGAGCTGCACTCACTGGCTCATGACCCTTGGCTTTCTTCCAGAATGGGGAAGTAGAATGTTCCTTCACTCCATGTCCAGAACTGGACTGCCCCCGTGAGGAGTGGTGGCTGGGCCCTGGACAGTGCTGCTTCACCTGCCGGGAGCCCACGCCCATGACAGGTGAGGGGCCCCAGCCCTGCCTCCCTGGGCTGCACCCAACACAGGCCAGGGTGCCTCCAGGAGGGAGGCTGAGCTGTATCCACTGAGACTGTTGCAATGAGTCTGAGTGTGTAAGTTTGTGTGTGTGTCTGTAAGTGTGTCTGCATGTGAGCAGTTATCTGTGAGTACATATTTGTGTAATTGTGTGTCGGTGTGTGTTTGTGTATTTGCGTATGTGTCTGTGTATATATCTGTGTATGTGTGTCTGTGTGTAATGGTTTCTCCGTGTGTGAATATGTGTTTATGGGTGCATATGTTTGTGTGAGTGTGTTTGAATATGTGTTTATGGGTGCATATGTTTGTGTGAGTGTGTCTGTGTGTACCAGGTCAATGTTTGGAGGGAAAACCAAACATAAATGAGGGAGCTAGACAGGTAGCCGTGGGCCACTCCAGGTTGAGTGTACACCCGGGAGCTGTCTACACAGCGTAAGTGAGCAGAGGGGTCCGCCCTCGGTGCTGTAGGTCTGCTGGGCATTCAGGGCCTTCCTCGGCACTTCGGCCCACTCATCCTTTCTCCCTCACTGTCCCCTGGCCAGGCTGCTCTCTCGATGACAACGGGGTTGAGTTTCCGATTGGACAGATCTGGTCTCCCGGTGATCCTTGTGAGTTATGCATCTGCCAGGTGAATGACAACCTGCGCGCCTTCAGCGGCTCTCCCTGCTGCTCCCGCCCCCGCCCCCGCCCCCTCAGCCCCTCCTCAGCACTCTTGACGGGGATCCTCATGGGCCAGACACCCCTGCCCCTCCAGAAGCTGGGCCACCTGGGGCCCGCCCTCAGCCTTGCTCCCACACCATCGAGTTTCATTTTTACAGAAAGTGTTGGGACCCAGTTTATTCCGCCCTTGGTGGACTTTTCAGGACAGTGGGCCTCGTTTTCAGGACAGCGGGGCTCGGCAGTCTGCCTTACGGATGGCGTGTGGCGCGTTGCCCTTGGATGGGGAGCTGCTGGCATAGGGAAATAGGAGTCCTGATTTTCCCCGACACAGATAACGGGGAACTGGGGCAGCCAGCTGTGCAGGCCTTGCCTTTGAAATTGCCGTGTTTCTTTCCTTAACATGAATCGTGTGACCTCATCGCATCGGAACTGGATAAGGAGAGGGTGCTTAAGGTTGCGTCAGATTGACAGCCGTGCAAACACAGCCACTTACCAAGAAACACCGTTGTTTCAGTTCATTGTTTAAGTCCATGTTGACTTTTCCTTTCTACTTGAAAGGAGTTTTCAGTCCCTGAGAGCTTTATATTTCTCATAATGAGGTCCCTGCACCAGCGGAGTCATGAGTGTCACCTGAAGCCTGGTAGACACGCAGACTCTGAAGGCCGCCCAGACCTCCCGGCTCAGAATCTGCATTTTACTGCCGGCGATGTGTGCGTGCACATTAGCTTAGCGTGTGAGAAGCACAGCCTTCAAGTCCCTTTGACGCGCCATTTGTTTAAAAGCCTTAGACCCTTACAAAAATTGGAAATGATTCATTAGAACTGGAGTTGGGACGAAAAAAGCTGCCTTTTTTCTCCTTTATGACTCATCTAGGACACTCAGGTTATATAAAAAAAAAGCTAACACAAAAGCTTTGTAAACATTCAGATTCTTAGAAAAAAGGGGAGAGTAGATATGGCGCTAATGTCTCCTGAAATAGACATTTCAGGTGGAATAGTTTTCTATAAAAATAGGATTTTTGTTCTACTCCATAGGTTTGGGGTGAGCCAGGGTTCCAGGGAAACCCTGAAAGCAGAATTTGGGTGGGGTGTTGCTGCAGCTTCGGCTGCCACTGGAGAGGAACAGGAAGCTGGGGAGATGGAGCCCCAGCAATCGCCTACCCTCCCCGTGGATACGGGGGCCTTCCGGAAGGCTCACGCCCGCTGCCCGAGTAGCTGGTCCTCTTTGGCCGGGACCTGCCACTGCCCACCGCATCCTGGCGCCTCTTAGGGCAAGCCTCGGCCAGTTGGCAGCATCGCCCTTTTTGGGGGGGCTCTGGGAGAGTGGAGGCGGGGGCTGGTATCGCAGGTAGGATCTTGGTGAAGTTCCTCCTTTCTTAGGCAGATGGCTCAGTGAGCTGCAAGAGGACAGACTGCGTGGACTCCTGCCCTCACCCGATTCGGATCCCTGGACAGTGCTGCCCCGACTGCTCGGCAGGTAATTCCCCACCCCTGATGGGGGGCCGCAGAGCACCTGCCTGCCCCCGTCGCATCCGGGCTCTCCCTGCTGTGGGCCCCTCCGTGAGACGCGTCACACGGGCGTCATCCTGGGTCATCTGCACAACCACCCTGGGGCGTGCCCATTTTAGAGATGAGGAAACTGAGGCTCAGAGACGCAAAGCGCTTTGCCCGCCGCAGGCTCTGGGAGCTGGAAGGAGATATGCAGATGTGTGCAGAGCTTGCAGCCTGGGCGAGGCAGCAAAGGAAGAGGCCATACCCGTGAGACAATTAAAGAACAGTGAGAGAAAGCAGAAGCCAGACTTTATTTTTTTATAGTAATTTTTACCTTTTTCCATCTTACTGCAGCACATTTAGAACGTACGGAAAGAAAAAATAAAAAAGAAATTAAAAAGGGCCCACATTACCACATTTACCCTCATGGTGTTGTCTTTCTAGTCTCTTTAAGTTATATATCTACGTCTATATATAACGTATCTGTAATACATATCTATATGTAACATATAATAGGTACATATTATGTATTTTTTCCTTCTAAAATGTTTTCCTGCTGTCCCTCACCTGCTTTTATACTTACTAGTATATATATAATACATTTCATCAGCGTAGCAGCACAGATTGGGCCTCTGCAGGTTTTGGGAAGCAGAGAGGGGAGAGGTATGGGGGAACATTCTGGAAGGTGGGGTTTGGGGTTCTCCTGAATGGGGAGGAACAGAGAGGATGGCACGGTGCCAGGCACCCAGGCTGTGTCTCTCAGTCCCTCTGTCCCGATCCCACCTGGTGAGGGGTAGAGAAGGACACGCTCTGCCCTGGGTGTGGGGGGCGGGGGAGCAGGCATCCCCAAAGTGAAGACACCCTGACCCCTCTGATGAATCCTGCACAAAATATCAGCCTCCAGTCCAGACACACGTTCTGTCCCTTCTCCAACCCCTGGGGCGACTGCCCGGGGAGGCAGTTGGCCTGACCTTTGCTACCCAGATAAGCCTGGGACCTTCGCCCTGACCAAAGCCTGGTGACTGGCCCCCACCCGTGGCGGGCGCTCACCCCGTGCTCTCTCTGGCAGGCTGCACCTACACAGGCAGAGTCTTCCACAACAACCAGACCTTCCCGTCTTTGCTGGACCCGTGTCTGAGCTGCATCTGCCTGGTACGGCCACCCAGACCTGACCCCTGTCTGCGGAAACTCCCCAGGGACTGCCACCAGCTCCTGAACCCTGGAGGCAAAGTCCAGAGACCTCCAAGAGAAAGGTCACTTCTGGGTCACGGTGACAGTGGGCTCCCTCCAGCCCTGCCCAGGGTGAATCTTTACCCAGGGCCAGAGAACTGTTTTTCACTCTGCCCGGCTAAAGTCCTCTGCTTCTGGTGACCAGGGAGGGTCTTGGCGGCGGGGAGGTGGTCCTCACAGCATGAAGTGTGGCCCAGGGGTTCTCGCTGAGGGTGTAGGTGAGGGATCCCGACCCCAGACTCTGCGCCCCAATCTTTAATGTACTAGCATTGTCCAGCCCTGGTCGTGTGCTTCACCTGCTGGGAGGGAAAACCGAGGCACAGTGAGACAAAGCCATTTGCTGAAGATGCCACAGCTAGTCAATTGAAGTGCCAGGAGCTGAATCCCCCGCTCTGAACCTGTGCTCCGGGAAGCACACTGTACCCCTAAACCGCACTGCCTCTCAGTCTGAAAAAGCATGTTTATGATAGAGTCCTATCAGCTCGTATTTGGAAAATGAAAAAAAAAAAAATCACGATTGCTCGTCTCGCCGAGGATGTTTAAAGCCGGTGGAAGGTCTTTGCTGGCGGTGAGTGCAGACACAGTGGGAGAAGGGCCAGGGTCTACAGAGACATTGAGAAACTCGGGGCGAACGTCTCTGGCCTCTCAGTGGCCCTGTTCATTCACAGCCACGTGTTTCGGGGAGCTTCGGCTTCTGGGTCCTTCCTTCTCCTGGGGTTTTGGTGCTCGCCTTTTTTAGGAAGTTCGCAGATTTGTTCGACAGGTATCCATTGGTAGATGAACTCTGTAGACAAGGCCAGGGCCTTGGCCTTGTGGGGCTTGTGTTCTACCAGGAAGATAGACTCTTACCTGCCCCACCACGGACCTCTCCACCAGCCTTGGTGTGTCTGATGAGGTTCTCAGTGGCTGTGTGACCTGTCCTTCCTGCGTGTTCCGTCGGCTGCCCAGAACGAAGGGCCTTGTGTGTTTTCTGTGTCCTGCAGCTGGGCTCAGTGGCCTGCTCGCCTGTGGACTGCCCCATCACCTGCACCTACCCCTTCCACCCTGACGGGGAGTGCTGCCCGGTGTGCCGAGGTGAGTGTGACCAGCTGCCCCACGTTCGAGGCTCCTGGGTGGGCCTGTGCGCTCATGGGCCCTTGTCTCCTCTGCCCCTGCAGACTGCAACTATGAGGGAAGGAAGGTGATGAATGGCCAGGTGTTCACCTTGGACCATGAGCCTTGTACCCAGTGCACGTGCCAGGTGAGCCGGACCTTGGAACTGGGAGCTGCCAGGCCAGGGGCTGCTTCTTGCGTTTTGTCCCTTTGCAAAACTCGGAGCCCCTTAGCCAACGTGTAAGCCCCTCGTCCTGCTGATTTTCAACTTTAATTACCTGCCAGAATACCTTTGGCTCTGACAGTATCCTCCCTCTTTGTGGTTTCCTTAAGGCTGCCTTGCTGTGTGTGGCTCCGCCTGTTGTTCAGGTGAGGGCCAAGCTCTGCAGCCTGTCTCCGGATCTTTCTGTGGGTCCCACTGCTGGTGCACGAGGCCCTTGGGGGAGCTGCTGTGGGCGGGTGAGGTGCTCTGGGTGTCTTCACGTGTATCCTTCTTCCCTAGCTGGGAGAGGTGAGCTGTGAGAAGGTCCCCTGCCAGCGGGCCTGCTCGGACCCTTCCGTGCGCCCTGGGGACTGCTGCTCCTCCTGCTCAGGTAAGCGGGCCTGGAGTTTCTGTCCCTTTGCTCTTCTTCCCAGAAACACAGAACTCGTAAAGGGCTATGTGACCTTGAGCATGTCACTTCACCTCTCTGCGCTTCAGCGTGAGAAGCCCAGCCTGAGAAACCCAGGCTCAGAGAGGGAACATGGCTCGCTCAAGGTCACACAGCCAGCGCATGGAGCGCAAGCCCGTGCCCCGGCTTACTGACCCTCCTCCATGCTCCTGCCACGCCGTGACATGCCGTACGGCAGCCTCGTTTGTTTACTGTGCCTTTTTCTTCTCCATTTTCTTCTTCCTTAATCTCTTCCTCCGCTTGCTTTCTTTTTCGAGAGATTAGAATTTAGTAACGGAACCAACTTTGCAGAAGGGTAATCGCTTGCACCCTACTGAGCACGCGTTTCGTGTCAGGGAACGTCGTGTGGCTCCTTCAGCCCCTTTTTCGCAGTGTCTCTTTGAGAGCGGCACTGGTGTCATCCCCATTTTCCAGGTGACGAAGCCGAGGCACAGAGAAGTGAAGTCACGTGCTCAAGGTCACTTAGCCAATGGGCGGTAGAACCAGGATTTGAGCCCCACGTCAATGTTTTAGCTCCTACTCTGCCTTGACTCCGACAGATTATTCTCCTCTGTTTGTCTTCCTCCATCTTTAATGTTCGTCCACGTGGATTATTTTGCGGTGTAACCAGGACACAGACAGCCTGCCATAACACATAGTTTCAAAGTATTGATGTGGCCCACAGCTGGACGTTTAAAAAGCTCCCAGATATTCTGGGTTGCTCACCCCCCACCTTTTGGGTTGACATTTAGGTGGTTTCTTTCTTTATTTTTTATTCTCTCCATAATGGACCTACTGTGAAAAGTCTTCGGTCAGACAACTTTTTCTTTAATTCGGTTAGTTGCGTTTGGACTTCGGGGTTAATAGGTGGAGTAATTTGGTCATGGAGCGTCGGAATGGTGTGGTAACTGGTACGTGACCACAGCACATCGCCAGATGGGATCCTGGAGGAAGAGGACACTCATGGGGATGTGGCCCGTGATCTGTATGCCCACCAACTCTACCCTGTATGTTTTGAATTTAATTTTTCCAATTTAACGTGTCCATCGAGTCCCTTACATGTGGCTTTTTTGTGTTTTTTTTTTTAAACTTCGAGGGAGACAGTGAATTCTTCCACTGATTTGTGGCCTGGATTTCCTTGTGTATAAAATATCTTTCAATGCCTTTGGAATTTTGAGGAGGATGTTCTATATTTAGGGCAGCTCTTCAGATCTGTGGATAAAGAGCTGCCGTGAGGACTGGGGGGCTGGAAACATCTCGAGCCCGTGCAGCCATTACATGAAAGGAATTGAGTGCTTTCTAGATTCTTCTTTAGTTTAGCCACCACCAACTAACGCCTCTGCAAGCCAATAGATATTATTCCCCCTGCTCTAGAGACTAATCATTAGCTAAGGCGCCAGGCACCGTATGGAGCATTTTACCTGTATGAGCTCATTTAAATGCTCCCGGGAACATTCGAGAATGGCCATCGTTACTGTTAGCTCCGTTTTGCAGATGAGGAGGCTCAGAGAAGATAAGTGTCTGAATTAAGGTTTTGTTCTAGTTGGTAGTGTAGAACTCAAGGCCAGGTCTCTCTGGACCTTACCCCCAGCTCCTTCCCATTCTGCTCTCCTGCCTCCAGATGGAGAAACTGAGGCCCAAAGTCGTGAGGCAGGGCACCAGCTCCTCTTGTTGGGACACACGGCCTCAGCTTGGTTCTCCACATTGCCTCTACCTAACGAGACCTCCTTGGAAGGAGAAACCACTGTTTATTGAAATAGACTACGAATTAGGGGTTTTTTTTGTTTTTGTTTTTGTTTTTTTGATAATTAAAAACCATAACAACTTTCTTGAGATGTAATTCACCTGCCATGCAATTCGCACACTCCAAGTCTACAATTCGGTGGGTTTGGGTACGTTTGCGCCGTTGTGGGACTGCCCTTTGATGATTTTTAAAGTGCAGTTGGTCCAGCGTTTTAATGCGTTTGACGACATCCGCCTCTTCCCTGATCAGGCTCTTCTCCAACACTCTTCCTTCCTTGACTTCCTCTCCCCCTGTGCGTTCAGCCCTTATGATGTGCGGGATCCAGGCTGAGACTTTAAAAAGAGAGATTTTTCTTTTTTTCGCAATAGACGTTATGTTTTTAGAGCAGTTTTGGATTCAGAGCAGAATCAAGCGGGAGGTACAGAGAGCTGTGGTATGCCCCGCCTCCCCGCACGCCCAGCCTCCCCACAGTCAGCGTCCCGCGGCAGGTGGCACGTTTGTTGTCGTTGGTGAACCTACTCCGAGCCCGGGGTGTCACTCAAAGTCCGTAGTTTACATTCGGGTTTAAGCTGAGACTTCCTGTGCACCCCGTGCGATCCTCATCGTTATGTCCATCTTACAGACAAGGAAATGGAGGCCCGGGGGAGTCGTGTGCCCCACACGACGTCACACGGCCACTGCCTAGCAGGGCCTCCCTCCATTCGTGTTGTTTTGGTCTGCTCTCCCTGGAGGCGAGAGCCAGCTGGTCCTCACCAGGTATACGAGGACCTTCAGAGGACTGAGTTTGGGCATCTGTCTCCAGTGTGGCTTGTCCCGGAGCTGCCTCAGCCATGGGGGAGGGTCACTGTGTTTCTCGTTTCCCCTACCTTTCTCTAGATTCCCTGGACGAAAGACGGGGACACTCTGCTCATGGAGACAGGTACTCGGCGCGGAGCCCCCGCAGAGCCACCGCGGCCCCCGTCAGCTGTAGCTCCTGCCCGGACCCCCCTGCAGCATCACCTCAGAGACCAGCACTCCACACCCTCCAGCTCCTCTTAAGGACCAACATGTCTTATGTGCAGACTTCACCCATGAGCTCCTCAGGGGCCCGGGCCTCACCCTCACCCCCTGTGGGGCCTGGGGCCACACTGCCAGGGGAGCCTGGGACCTCCCAGTCTCCTCGACCCTCACCAGGGCCATCAGTTTCTCTGGGAATCTTCACTCTACCTCCAGCCTCTCCCGGGGCTCCTGGGCCACCCCCTGTTACTCCAGAGCCTTCGTCCTCAGCATCTGGGGCCTACACAGTGTCCAGAGAGCCTTCTCTGCCTGCCGCCATCCTGACTAACACTTCTGCCCTGTCCACGACGGGCCCCATCCCTTCAGAGACCCCCATCACCCTCCTCAGGCCTCGCAGACTCTCCCCCACCACATCCAGACTCTCTGCAGCCCTTGTGGCCACCGCCAGCCCCAGTCCCCAGCAGCCCACGACAGGAACCTCGAGTGAGGAGGAGTCTACTGGGTAAGCAGGCCTCCATGACTCTGGACAGAGGAAGCCGTGCCTGAGAGACACTGGGTAGAGGATGCTGCTGGGGGTCCTGAGCCTGACTGTGTGCGGAGAGGCTCCGGGGGCAACGAGGCGCAGCCCTGCAGGACTCCTGGCTGGACGGAAGACCCCCAGGCCTGGTGTGGCCTTGTTCCCAGGAAGCATGTGGAATGTGCCATGGGAATCGAGCACATGCCTCCTCCTGGGGCAGCATCCTCCCTGGGCAGCGTGGCCTCTGGTCTTTTGAGGAAGGTTGGGCTGCTGAGCTGCCCGCTCTGGAGGAGGAGGGCCAGAGAGGGCCTGGGATTCCACTGGGACCGAGCCACCAGCGGTCACTGTCGTCACTGTCCTCTCAGCTGAGCTTTCCTGATTAAAGGCTGTCTCGGTCTGTCCCAGGCTGTGCTGCTCACTCACTTCTCACTTCGGGAAGTTGGGAGAACTTCAGTCCATGCCCACAGGTGGCAAACTATGCCCCATCTCAGCCCCCAGCTTGGGAGGAACGCCTACCCCAAACTGGGGCTGGGTTGGGGAGGTGTCTCGTGTAAGCACCTGGTGGCCTCGGATGCTGGGAGACTTCTAAAGTGAGAAGGGCAAAAACAGATGGAGAGGGCTTTGCAGGTTGGGTTCCCTGGGTGGGAACGTCTGAGAAGGAGCAGGCAGGCAGTTCCTTGTCACCACACCTATGGGTTGGAGGGAGGGAGAAGTCGGGCTGCCTTCAGTCCCAAGGCCTCAGCCAGCCGGATCTGGGAGCTCTGAGGCTGAGTGACCCTTCATAGTTGTCCTGAGGTAGGGAAAAGGGACAGGGCTTTGTGTCCCCATGTTGACCAGTAATTCTTTATGGGCTGCCCCAGGAAAGTCGTGTGACCTTGGACAAGGCAACTCCCTTCAGCCTAGGCAATTCCTTGTGAGGGCTGATGGCCAAGAGCTGTCAGCCAACAACCTTCCGAGCAGAGGGGGGACTAAATCCGTCAGTGCCCAGGGGAGGTCTGGGCGGAGCAGCTCAGATTCCATGACCTGGGAAAGAAAATTATTAATGGGGGGAAACGGGACGGGAATGGAAGACAGGGAACTTAGCTGTCACCAGGTCGCTCACTTGCTACCACTGAAGACCCACGGGCTGTAGAATACACCGCAGCCCCCACCGCACAGACCCCACCCACGTTTGCCCAGGCTTCCCTGCTCGCTCTCCTCTGACCCGCCGCTCGCCACACGTACCAGGTGAGGATGTCTGCAGTAGTTGCCAGCTGCAAAGGCCATCTGGGGCGTCCAGCCCAGATGTTAGTGTGGTCGTGTCCTAATCTGCAGGGATAGCGAATTTAAGAGCATGGAAACCAAAGACTTAAGAGATGCAGAGGACTCAGAGACCATTTTGTCTAGTTAGACTCAAAGGGTGGTGGTTAAGAGTGAGGTCTGGGGTACGTGAAACCAGGTTTGAGCCCTACTCCGCCGTGACTAGCCGAGGGACCGCCCGTCTCAGTTCCCTCATCTGTGCGATGGGGTCATAATCGTCCTACCTTGTGGAGTTGCGACGGTGGCACGTGATAATGCCTCTCTCAGTCTCTGGTTTGTGACCCGCGCAGCCCTCTGGCTTCCCTGTGTCACCTGGCATCTCTGTTTCAGGATGAAAGCGTGGGGCCCTGGCTGCCTCCACCTTGTAACTTCTCAAACAAGGCAGGGGTGGCTACAAGTCAGCGCTCATTTTCTTATTGCCCTCCCTCTATTCAATAAAGAAAGCAATTCGCGTGTGAACGCGGGTTTCTCCCTGCTCCGTAGAACTCCAGTAAATGATGTTCATGTCGAACTGTTAAAAAATAAATAAAGAGGTGGCGGGGAGAGCTGTAAACATTTTCCCCAAGGTGGTCCAAGTGTGAAAGCCTGCTTCTCTGGACTCTCCATCGCCTCCCTCAGGTTACAGCTGGGACTGCGCAAGCCCAGAGAGGTTAGAGGCTCCCTTAAGGATGCACAGATTGTGAAGGCTGGCCTGGGAGGGGAGCCCTGTTTGGCTCCCAGTATGGGCTTTTCCCCTTCACACGGCACCTGCTGGGCTTCTCCTGCGGGAATTTCAGTCGATGATGGGCTACAGTTGATGGGAAGGCGCTGTGACCACCTTAGCTTCATCTAGGCTTCCCCGAGAGCCGACCCAGGGATGAATACTTGGGTGACAGTCACTGCCCTGGGAGTGATCGCAGGGAGCAGGTGAGGGAGGGGCCCGTGAGATGGAAGGGAAGAAAACTAGCCGAGGTACATTACAGAGTGGTCGTCGCTGTGGGCAGGTGGCACCAGCCCTTCTGTGGACCCTGGGAGACCGTGTGGCACATGCCTCAGAATTGTCCCCTCCCCCGAGGGCCTGAGGATGCTACTCCGCTCCTCCTGTCCCTCTCTTGTTCCCGGCATGTCCAAGGACCAACCCTGCCTCCCTGTCACTCACTCCCGGGCACAAGAAGGCTCTCGGGGCAGAGGTGCAGGAACTGCCCACAGCAGCCCTCCCGCTGGGCAAGGCTCACACCGCCTCACATCATGGTCACACTGCCTCTTCTCAGGGCCCGGGGTGGCAGGCAGTGCCCTTGCGACGTTCTGGGAGCCCCTGTGGGATCTGACCAGGCAGGAATGCTGGGCAAGGCTCACACTGCCTCATGTTGTGGTCACACTGCCTCTTCTCAGGGCCCGGGGTGGCGGGCAGGCAGTGCCCTTGCAACATTCTGGGAGCCCCTGTGGGATCTGACCAGGCAGGAACCTGTTGTGCTCACAATAAGCCTCACCATTCACAGCCCCTGCCCAGGGCTAGCTGGCTGCAGGAGACCCCAATGGGCGCTTAATGCCTTTAATGGGCAGAGTGAGTTAACAGCCTGGGCCCCCATAAGCAGGAAGGTGCTTGTTCTTGGACGAACACACCCCATACCTCCCCTTACCTAGGACTCCACATTAGGGTTCTGAGGAGCAGCAGAGGATGGGGAGAGTGTGCCAGAAGCCTGTTCCCTGTGGTCAGTTTCACTGGACCTGGGCCTTCCCGAAGGGGCCAAGTGGTCAGACTTGGTTCCAAAGACCTGCTTTGGGAAGTTATCAGGCGAATGGGCCCAAAGGCAAACAACAGTAGGTTGTGAATTAGGATACACTTTCAGAGGGTTAAAAGTACCTTTCATTAACTTAGTGTGAATGTATGGTATATCTGCATCCTCAGAAATAAAAATGTATAAAATTGTATTCGGTGAGACATCTCCCCCACCCCACATTTACCCAGTCCCCCCTCTTCTCTTTTCTGTGGTCTCCGGTCTTGGACCTCGTTTCTCAGTTCCTTTGTGTATGTGCAAGCAAATCTTATTTCCTTTGTTTATAACCCAAATACAGCACAGTGTCAGCCCCGTTGTCGCCTTGTTGTTTGCGTTTTTGGTTTTCACGGAACGATCCCTTCTCCAAATCTTTCTGTCCCAGTACCTAGCAAGTGTATTCGCTTTTTCCTTTTTACAGCCGCGTAGCTGCTTCGTGCAGGCACGCACCAAACGCTGTTTAATTATTCCCTGTGGATGGACATTTGCTCTTATAAAAGATGCTACAAAGGAATAACCTTGTACTTACATCATTGTGCACGTGTGTCAATGGATGTTTAAGATAAATTCCCAGAAGTGAAGTTACTGGGCCAGAAGGTATATGTGTTTCTAATTCTGACGGATATTGCCACGTGGGGCTCCTTAGGGGTTGTACCAAGTTGCACCCTCACCAGCAATGTGCAAGAATCTGCATTCGGGGAGGGTTTAGGTTCCATAGATGAGTGGAACAGTGACCCATGAGATGAAAATAACACTTTTGGACGAACATGGATGGAAAGGTGGGGGTCCGGCTGGGTTTAGACCCCCAGGGCCCCTGGGAAATGAGAAAGACGCATGAGACTGGAGAAAAGGAATGTGAGTCCACCTTGCTGAGCAATGTGGGGCGCGTCAGATCAGCTATGTTAGCACGAGGTTTTCCCATCCGAATGATCTGTTTAAGGGGAAGCCTTTTTAGAGTCTGTCTGGATCCAGGAGTCCCAGGGTGAAGGAATGCAAGCGGGGCAAGGAGGGAGGGTCTGAGCTGCAGCTGGTGGGGCTGAGAAGGGGGTAGGGGGAAGGATGTGGCTAGGAGCAGGAGAGGAAGGGGCTGGGAAGACCTGCCTGCGTCCCCAAAGCCTAGCACATAGCCTGGCTCATAGGAGGTGCTCGGGAACTATCAGAAAGACAAACAGCTAAGGAACTAGGACACCGTGAAATTCCTACCCAGAAATCTGAGCGGTCCACCTGTCGGTCCCATGACCAAACATGACAGGGACAGAATGCGGTGGGGGTGGGAACAGATCCATCTGTTGTCTTAAGCATGGCCTCAGTCAAAAAAGATCCACTTTCTCAGCCTATCCTCCTTGTTTTAAAAAGTCATCTCGAATGGATCACTCAGTCAACAAGGATTTATTGAGCATCTACTGTGTGCCGGGCCCTGCTCTTGCCGCTGGACGTTCAACAGTTAAACGGTCACAGCCCTGGCCTGGTCGATCTGAGGCGAGCACTTCCACGAATGCGTGGTGACCGGTTGTGCTCAGTGCCATGAAGGTGAGAAGGGTCGGGCTCTGTGGGAGGATGGTCAGGGAAGGCTTCTCAGGGAAGTGGCGTTTAAGCTGAGGTTTGCAGGACGCTGGACATCAGCAGATCAAGAAAAAGGGAACAGCAACCCAGGCAGAGGGAACAGTGTGTGCAGAGGTCTGGAGGCAGGGAAGAAGTTTGGGTATTCGTGGAGGTAGAAGGCCAGGGTGGCAGGAGCTCAGGGTAAGAGGGATCCAGGCGAGGCAGAGAAGGTAGTACACACTAGACCCTGCAGTGCCTAGAAGCCACACCAAAGGTGTACTGTCTTCATCCAATTGCAACTGCAAGGCGTTAATTAAAGATTTTAAGCAAGGAAAGGATGTGATCAAATTCGGGTTTCAAAAAGATCATTCGGCTGTCTCTTCTTAGAACTCGACATCTTATATTTACATGAGTGATAAATGACAAATTGCAGGATGCCGTGACAATAGAATATCTAAAGCCATCTTGTTCTGGTCACCCCAAAGTCCTTCTCTCTCGGCAGGGAGGCCCAGCTCTAGCCCTCAGGCCAGTGTATCCAGCGGACGGTCTGGAATCCAGCTGTCGGCAGAGGCAAGAGCTATGGGAATTTTTCCAACGTGCGTGTGGAGGAGCACAGGACTATATAGGTTTCCTAGCAAAAGAAGAATGGGGATCCAGCTGAGCCAAGCTGAAATGAAAGAGATCACTTTGCAGCAGGACTTCTCAGAGCCTTTGACTGGGATATGCGCCTCGTGAACCTTGAAGAAGGGCCTGGAATGTAGCATGTTCCATACTTATTTTGAAACTTTGGTTTTCGTTGAACATGTTGCTACCAAACCCACTCTGAGAAATGCTGCTCCATTTCCTGTTTGCATTTCTAGGGCCTATTTGCTCATGAGCGTGCTCGGTTCCTTCTCTCATAACCTTTATTCAGAGAGCAGGAAAACCGCCCTCTTTCCTGATGGAGAAAAGCAGCGATTCAGTGTCTTGAACCCAGAGCGTGGAGGTGTCCTCAGCTGTTAGTCTAGATCAACCAGCTAATCACATAGAGCAGCCTGGTTGATGGCAGGTGTCAGCTTCTGTCACCTCTCCAGCCCGTATCTTATAGACAGTACCGCCCTGCCTGGCCTACTTAAAAATGTCACCATCAGTGGCCACCTGTCTTCTCTTGATCTCTCTTCCTTTCTCATTGTGCTATTGGCTTTGAGAGAAATAAGAAGTCGACTCCCTTAACCAAGAACTTAGGGGTCCTGTTCCATGAGGAGGCAATGTCCTGCCATCTGTGGTCCCCAGGTCTTTTAAATTCAACTTTGTTATTTTTTAAACTGAGGTACGATTGACTCCCCACCCTTTATGTGATGCTCCCAGCAGGACCTGCCCAGGCCCATTTGTTTTCCTGGCTCTCTTGTGAAGCGTGTGCTGTGTTTGGTGCTGTCGCAATAGATGTGGTCATTTCTGTCCCCTTGCCCAGGTGTTCTGACCCCGATGATGTGAGGAGAAATAGCAGTAAAGAGAAGAAACTCCACAAAACAGTTTTTCAGGATGATATGTTTTTATTCTACATCATTGGTATAGCAGAGAATAGGGCTAAGATTCCACCTTCGCAATCCCACAGGAAAAGCAATCAGGAGAATTATGTACGTCTAGAGTGGGCACCGAGCTGGGGCTGGATCATCCTGGGAAGTGACCGGAAAGACTCAGGCTTAGGCCGCAGAAGCCAGGCCGACCTGGTTGTTTGCTCTGTCAAAGACGGTGAAGTACTGGCGGATGAAGACGTCACCCAGGATCCAGAGATCCCCGGAGGAGGTGGGGAGGTCCATGCCCTGGAAACCACTGATGCACACATCGTCGCTCTAGAGAAAAGGACAATCAAACCGGAGATGGGACACAGACTCAGCAGTGGCAGGCGCTGGGGACTAAGCATCAAACGCCATGGTCTACTCTAAGGCTCAAGCAAGGAGGAGCTTCTTGGGTCATGTCCGGGGACGTGGCTCTCTGGCCTAGGGTCTGCCTGTGTAAGCTGTTCACTGCACTATTGTTTTCCAGGGGTTCCTAGACATTATCCGGTGTTTCTGGCAGAGGCACAAAGCCTGACGCCAGCATCGGAGCTAAGGGATGTTGGGAGAACTCAGCTGCTGGGAAGGATTTTGGACGGCCCAACGACACAGCCTTTCTCATTATTCTGATCCCGTTCGGTGGCAAACCAGGGCGGCTGTTAGTTTATTTTCCTTCGCCAGGGTACTGGGCCACAACCTTGGGTGTACATTAGAATTACCTGGGGAGCTTTGAAAAAATCTCATTGCTCGGGCCTCACCCCTACTAATTAATCAGCATCATTGGTGGCTGGGGGCGTGAGCCAGATATCAGTACTTCCTGCCAAATAACATCGACTCGCTGGGCAAAACTAGTTTTGCACCTGGCATTATAATAGAAGATCACGGGTTTTCCTGTGGTTCATTCGACTCAAATTTGTCACTGGCGGAGGCAGTAGGAGCATATTAGCCCTAAGAAAGTTGTGACTCCCATTCACTCGACATTTAATAGCTTCGATATGCTCAGTCTCACCTGGCTCCCCTGACCACCCTCAGAATCAACAGGCTAGTCATTGAGGCCCAGGGCTTGGACTCAGGTGTCCAACTAGAAATCCTCACTTCATGCCACCATCCTTCACCTCACTTTTTCTCTCGGAGGTGGGGGACTGCATCCACATCCTCACGCATGCATTTATTTTTAATGTATTCTTTTTCTCCAGGGGCTATCCAGAGTGGAAGTCAGCCGCAGCTTGTGGAAGTGTACTTCCGCTTGTGCGGGGTGGGAGGACGTGGCCACATTCTATGCAGGCACATCCAGGTGGAAGGCCCAGAGCCCTCTTACCTCCAGGATGTAGGCACTGGAGGGCAGAGGGTACTGGACGCCGTTGATGGTGAAGATGATGTTGGGCAGCTCGCTGGCAGCTGAGCAGCTGACCACCATCTGGAAAAAGTGAGAGTTAGAGAGGCTGCATGCCTCCTGCGTGGCAGAGCCACCAGCTGGGTTAGAGCAGAGCAGTCGGGCCTGGGCTTACATCGCCGTCCGAGTTCTCGCTGGCTCCAATGTACTTCTGGATGCTGCTAATGGCGGTGGTTGGGCCAGCGAGCAGGGAGGTGCCGGTGTCAACAATGGCCTGGCAGGTCGCACTGCAAGCGATGGCCTCTCCGTCCAAGATGACACTGAGGGCAAGATGCAAATAAGGGTCCCCTTAGCTCCCAGGGGATACATCTCCCCAAGGAGGAACCAGGTGACCCCAGAGGGTCCCTCCTTCCCATCCATTGGCCAACACATAAAATTTCAGCTTCTCTCATTCACATATTCGTTTACTCCACAAATATTAACTGAGTGCCTACTCGGCACCAGGCACGGGAGATGCAAAGCCGAGTAAGACAGCCACCCCATTTCCGGCTGCGGGGAGTTCACAGTTTGCTAGAAAGGTAAGTTTTGATTGAGGAAGAGCAGGACGAGCAGGGGGCGAGCCGGGGGAACAGAAACACAGTCCAGGGCGAGGGTGGTGGTGGCGGGGAGCAACCAGGGAAGGGGATGGGAGGTGGGGCGTGGTGGAGACAGAGCCACGGGGGTGAGAGCTGGACCTAACATTTTAGCATGGCTAGGAAAGACATAAGGCTACCAGTGCATCCTGATCTACCCAGGACTGTCCTGGTTTTAGTACTAAAAACTCTTGCGTCCCAGGAAACTGCTCACTCCTCGGCAAACCTGGGTGACTGGTCACTCTAGCGGCTCCTCGAGGGGAAGAACAGCCGGGGGACGAGGCTGCATGGGGAACCAGCAGGCCCCGAAGAGGGAGGTGGGAAGGAAGGACCTGAAGCAAACTTAGCCATTTGGCCCTATCCTTCGGCTAAAAGTGACGTGTTCCCGAGAATGAGAGGAGTGTGTGCCAATTCACAGTCCCCTATATGCTGAGACATGTGGGCAGCCGGGTTCCGGCTCACCCCGGGGATGCTGGTAGATAGTCCTCCTCTGTGACCAGAAGAGAAATGGTTGTCTCATCCTTGCAAAGGGTCTGGGGGTCTCAGCGAGGTGTCTTTCTCAGGGTCTCCCTGTCTTGGCCAACTCTACCTTCTCCTTCTGGGGTGCATTTCTCTGTGCTGGCCGTTCTGGGGGTGGGGGTTAGAAAGCTTAGTTGACTATGAGTCTATGAAAAAATGGGATCTGGGGCTCATGTCAGGACGTTGCCCATCCAAGGTGATCTCACCTGTCCACGGTGATCTGCCAGTAGGTCTCAGAAGACAGAGGCACCCAGTTCAGGCTTCCACTGTAGTAAGAAGAATCGATGCCACCAAATATCACCACACTGCCACTGTCGTCATCGCTGTGGAAAGTGGAGGGAAAAGACAGGAATTCATTCCTTCATTCATTCCTTCATTCCTTCATTCCTTTGTTCATGGAACGGAACCTAAACTGTATGCATTTGAAGAGCTACTTTTTCAGGGTTTTTTTGCGATAGAATTTTGGCCTCTATTTTAAGTAGATTCACTTTAGGTTCTTGCTAGTGCCAGGAGCCGCGCTGAGTGTGTGACAAATAAGGTTTCTTTTCATCCTTACACCAAGGCCAATGCCATGGTCGCTATGATGATTATTATTTCTACTTTACAGAGAGGAAACTGAGGCACAGAGAGGTGAGGTGACTGCCCAAGGTCACACAGCCCGGCAGCGGCAGAGCCAAGGTTAGAACCCATGTCTTTCTGGTTCCAAAGTGTGTGGTTTCCACCACGTACTCTCATTGCTGTGGGGACCATAAGAGAAGTGAATACATAACAGTGCTTGCTCTTAAGGACTTGAGAGCTGGAACTGACATCCCCCAGTTAGTTTTGCCCCCAGGGGACATGTGTCAATGTCTGGAAATGTTTTCGATCGTCATGATTGGGGTGCCACTGGCATCTAGTAAGTAGAGGCCAGGGAGGCTGTGAACCATCCTACAATGCACAGGACAGCCTCGATGACAAGGACTCGCCTGGTCCCAAATGTCCATGGTGCTGAATCGAGAAACCTGATCTAGTTGGGCAGATAAGAGCTCTCCATGAGACATCTAAGTACCTGGAAATCCGGACTATGTTTAAGAGCTGACTTGAATATTAAGCAGCCAGGCATAAAAAGGGTAAAAGGAACTTCCTGTTGTAAATTGCAAGGGTCCTTGTTACTGGAATATTTATGATCTGAATCTCTGCAGATTTGGGTGAGATAGGAAAGCAAATATAGATGATGGTAGGAAATTGATCGCCGAATAATTGGCCACAGATAAAACACTCCCACTCACCTAACTCCACCCCACTCTCACTGTAAACCTCTGACAGTACATGTGACGTAATGAGATTCTAGCAGAACAACTAACAACTGAAGACAAACATCAACGATGACGAACGGCTTCGAAAGAGAAGGATGTGAGTGTCCCGCGAAAGTTGATGACACCCTCAGATATTGTTGCATGAACCTCTACTCAGCTTAAACCAACGCTGGGTTTATTCTTTCTTCACTCTTAGAATTAACTCTTAGTCACGACTGGAACCTAGATTTTAACGAATAAAAGAAACTTGCTTTCGTCATTTAAAACTTTCGCTGTTCAAGATATAAGACCCAATCAAACCTTTTTTTTTTTCCTTTCCATTTTTTGCTGCAGAATTTAGGCCCCTATTTAAAGTGGATTCACTTTAAATGGTGGTCTTTTGGAGACCTATATTGACGGGACTAGTACTGGAGAGCGAACAGCTAATGACATTGGACTCGTGCAGGTCACTGTGACCAAGGCTCATGCTGGTCAAACAGGATGGATGAAGACGGCTTGTCACAGAGGGATTGGTGGTCGTTTTTGCCGAAGATACGCCTTTCAAGCATTGGACACTGACCTTTCAAACCTCTTACTTGCTAAGACCCTCTCTACCCCACCCAGTCCTGGACAGCACCCTGCTGGGCCAGGTGACCTTGACCTTTCTGCCCAACTTACGAGCTCAGATAGACAGAGAAGAGGTCTTGGGAAACGAGCCCCTGGTCCCACAGGTTGTCAAAGACGGGTGTGGCTCCCGAGGCGGAAATGCTGGGGTAGGCCAGACCCAGGATGCCGTCGAAGGGTGCGTAGTACAGGAAGGAGCCGGGTTCTGTCTCGCTCAGGCCGAAGATCTGGTTGGTGTCGGAGATGCCTCCAACCTGGGTGGGGGGACCAAGTCGTTCGCAATCAGCTCGTATGGACTGAGCCCTGTGGGGTGCCAGCCCCGGGCCCAAACTGTCCTGGTTCATTTTGTGTAGGACTCGGCTTCTGGGGAGTCAGGCTGCAAGCGGGGGAGAGGGACTGTCCCCAGGAATGGGTGTTATTCTGCTAGAGGTAATCATTGCAGCTGATCTCCAGGTGGCCACAGTCTGTGACTCGGTGTAAGAATTTGCTACAGAACAGATGGTCACCGTGTGCTTGTGTGTCTGATGGTAGGATGCAAAGCAGACCTCAGGCAGATCAGAGCCTTTGACCGCTGCTAGAAGTGGGGAGCCGGTGGAGCTTTTGTTGGGGGGGGGGGCTCTAGAAGGGGGAGGAGGAAGAGGAGGAGGAGGGGCTAAAAGAGGACTAAACCGTTTTTTTACCTTCACCACTCCTTTCCCCCATGCCACTCAGCTTGGGTGGGGCTGAGGTTGGCCTATGGCTCCAGGTACCATCCTGTTACCCACCACTGCCCACCTAGAAATGTCTGTGATGTCTCTTCCATCTCCCCCTTGCCATCCCCCAGTTAGCTTACTTTTGTGACCACTGAGACCTGTATTGCTTAAATGAACTGGTTCTGGGGGTTAGGGGGTTGCTGGTTCTGGGTGACCCCTAAGGTCTTTGGAAGCTGGCCCCCAGGGCTGGGCAGAATGAGGTGACCAGTCAGCAGGTGCTTACCTGGACGGTGTCGTATCCGAGGATGCCTGTCATGCTGCCGGTGCCATAGGTAATGGAGACCGTCTCGCTGGTGGCCTCGAAGGTGGAGGAATCCTCAGGGTTGAAGACGTTGTGGTTGTCTGTGAGGGCAAAAAGTGACATCATCAACTTCCAAAGCTGAGCAAGAGTCATGGGCTGGAGATGTCTTCCTGGGGTGGGTGTCTGGCTGGGCGGTGGGGCTTTGGGCGAGAAGGATGACCTCTGTCCTGGACTCTGGAGTCTGGGCGTTCCCAGATTTCATTCCTGTCTGGTGGGCCAGTTGGGACCATCTCACAGCCGAACCCACGGTCCCCCCGAGGACACCCGGGCAAACACTGAGTGGACCAGGCCCATGGATGCCCTTGGCAAGAAGTGCCGGCCCACTTCTTTCTGCCATTGGCCTGAGCTCCTTGAGGGCAGGGACCATGCATGAGTCAGCCTTTTCTCCGCAGGGCACCTAAGCCCAGTGCTTGGCACGTAATAGCTGTTCATTGAAAGCCTGTTGAGTGACTTCTTGAGTGGCTCCAGCAGGCTTGAAATTAGACTGGTTTGAAGCCCTTGAGTGTCCTGGGCTCCCAGGTCGGTTGGTGCCGGGGGCCCCGGCAGGGCCGAGCAGGACTGGGCACTCACAGCAGGCAAGACTGGAGCAATAGACCGAGGGCACCCACAGGTTGGAGGAGCCGGTGTCAAAGATGACGGTGAACTCCTGGGCAGGGGTTCCGATGCCAATGGTGCCGAAGTACTCCATCTGTGGGGTGGGGACAGCACAGCTCACGGACGGGGGCCTCCCCACCTCGGCTTCCCCAGGGACCGTGTCTGCGTTGGGTCCCTAGCCCACCTCCTGCCTTACCCTCACTGTTCTCCTTGCCTTTCTCTGCCTGTCCTATGCATCCATCCTTCAAGGCCCAGCCTGGTCTCCCCTCCTCCTTGAAGTCTTCCCTGATTGCTCCCCTGTTTCACGCTAACTCTTCTCTTCTAAGCACCATTCACACCTACTACTAATCTCGGCTGGTCTGTCTGAGTCTCGTTCTCAGAGGACAGGGTGAAAACTTAACGCACCCCTCAGCGGAAAAGCTTAAATTTCCGTTCACTGAATTGTTGCTTAGGAGATAAACAAGTCCCAGAAAGATGGAAACCCCTCGAGACATCTCCTCATAGCTAGGCGCGCACAGCAGGTTTTAAGAGGGGGCATTTAGGAAAGGCGATTTTTATTTTTAGCGCCAGCCCTTTGGCCCTTGCTGGCTTTTCCGGCCCCACTGGTCTTGCTATTCTTGAATGACCACGAGCGCATTGCCACCCCAGGGCCTTTGCGCTTGCTATTTCTCGCGCTTGGAAAATGCGCAAGATCACAAATGCTCT